GCATTCCACTCAGTTCTGAAAATTTTTGACCTATTGTAGTCCAGTTTGTTTTTTTTTGTTTTTTGTTTTTGGCTGCATTGTGTCTTTGTTGCTGTGCACGGGCTTTCTCTAGTTGAGGCAAGTGGGGACTACTCTTCGTTGCAATATGAGGGCTTCTCATTGTTGTGGCTTCTCTTCTTGCGGAGCACGGGCTCTAGGCTTGTGGGCTTCAGCAGTTGTGGCACGCAGGCTCAGTAGTTGTGGCGCACGGGCTTAGTTGCTCCGTGGCATGTGAGATCTTCCCGTACCAGGGCTCGAAGCCATGTTCCCAGCATTGGCAGGTAGATTTTTAACCACTGTGCCAGCAGAGAAGACCAGTTCAGTTTTAAGGAAATTAAATTTTGTGAATTTCAAAAGTTCCCCACGTTGGTATTCTAAATTGTGTTTGGTCAAGTCTGTTTATTTAGTTAGAAATGAACATGAGGAAAGACCCTGGTGTTTAGAAATAAAATCATCTGGAGTCCTTGTAGTGAGGGCACCCTCAAAATACTTAGATAACTGGGAGCCCATTTCTTAGAGGTTTTCCTCTAGGGTAAAGAACAATTTTCAAACAGCTCAAATAGCTTACAGAACAAACGGCTCAATTCAAATAGCTTGCAAGCCAATCCCAGCCAGTCTTAAGGAGATAGCTTTGTCCTGAAGGATCTAGACCAAAGGCTTTTTAAAGCCAGTCTCCAGAAGACAGCCATTCCAAGGGAACAGGCAAAAGGCTGAAAAACTCGGCCCTGGTTCAGAAAAAAATTCCCCTGTTCCCGAAGGAATGAGTCAAAGGGTATCCAGCTTCAGGAGAAGCAGCCTTTGTTCCAAAGGGAATAGGCTGAAGGTTAGCCAGTTTCAGTGAAACAGTCTGATCTCAAATCAGACAGAAGTGCCAATTTCACATACAGAACAAGGCCTTAATGAGAAAGAGGAAACCTTCAAATAGATACTGAATAAAGCCTGGAGCTTCAAAAGCAAAGAGAGTGTGAGCTCGGATCCAGGAGAAAGCTACACCTTCAAACTCTGGGGTTGGAAAAGCAATGAGGAACAATGGGCTCAACTGTGGATACCACACCTGTTTGCTCACCAACCTGGAGCTGTTGGGTGTCTTCTCTGGTCCCTGTACAGGCCACCAAAATGTTGACCCGAAACAAATAGATTGCCAGATATTTCTACCGCAGAGATGGGTTTATTTGGGATCAGCAGAGAACTGCAGTTTGGGGCCTGCAACCATGGTGAGCCACAGCGAAGTCCGCAAACAACAAGGGAAAGAAAACTCTTATAAAGAGGAAAAGGAAGTTGGGAGGGCTGTAGTAAACAGAGCCCATGGCTTTCCATTGGCTGAGCTGTTGCCACGAAATAAGTCTCTCTTTTTCCTATTGAGCTCTGCTACTGTCACGGGGCATGAGTGCTCCCCCTTCTGGTCTCCCAACTTATATGTAATTGAGGTTTCTGTTAATTATTTACACTGGGCAAAAGCATACTGTGATTCTTTTGATCAAATAAGATGAAAATTGAGGGATATCAAGAGACTGGGATTCATCAGAGTTTCACTCTCCCCTTATTCCATAATTATTTCAACACCAAGTATCGGTCAGATATTGTCTGCACAACCTTCAGCCTGAAGGTGGAATTTTTTTTTTTTTAACCTGTCTGAATAGTCTCCAAGTCCCAAGTGAGTTGATAGACTCACTTAGCAATGGGGTAGATGGAAGTGACATTTACCTGTGGCCTGTGGTTAATCCTGGAGAGAACCAAACATTGGTCCAAGTTGGGGAACTTTCTGATTCCTTTAAAAGTTGTTTCCCAGAGGGGAAATTAAGGGCCCAGATTATATTTATTCCCAATTTTTTCACTTAAAAAATTACATATTATAAAAATATAATATTATATGTGTGTATATATATAATATATAGACACACGCACAAATATGTCTGCAGACATTTACATATACACATATCTTTTGAAGTTGGACAGGTGTTGTGGGCTGCATTGTGTCCCCTCAAAATTCATATACTGAAGTCCTAACCCCCAATACCTCAGAATGTGACTGTATTTGGAGATAGGGTCTTTAAAGAGGTAATTAGGTTAAAATGAAGTCATTAGGGTGGGCCCTAATTCACTATGACAGGTTTCCTTATAAGAAGAGGAGATTAGGATACAGATGAGTACAGAGGGAAGACCGCATGGGGACAGAGAGAGATGATGGCCATCTACAAGCCAAGGAGAGAGGCCTCAGTAGAAACCACTCCTCTGACACCTTGATCTTGGACTTCTAGCCTCTAGAATTGTGAGAGATTAACTTGTTGTTTAAGCCACCCAGTTTGTGGTACTGTGTTCTGGAAGCCCTAGCAAACTCATACAACAGGGAATGTACAGATGTAACTATTGTCCTCTCTCCTGGCAGCTGTTTCTCAGAAGAGGCACATAGGGCTTGGCATAATTTGTTTAACAGCAATAGACAATATTCACACTCTATTACTCTTATCTGCCTCCTTTAAGAAGGAAAAATGACTAAGTAGGGGTATTATGTGGTGGCTATGACCCTATTTCAATCAGGGTCTAGCAAGAAACACAACGTATCACTAGCACTGTATTTGTCTTTCAGGTTCAATAAAGTGAGCGGAAGGGAATTCATGGCTCTAGTGACTACCCCTAGGTCTCAGCACAACAGTATGTAGGAAAAGCTGATTCTCACCCTCAGTGCCCTTTCCCATCTGCTCAGCGTTCCCATCTCTTT